TTTAAACTCACGGAAATCGGTCCCGGCTAGGTGTAATCCGGTTTGTAAGGAGCCGTGCTTTTACAAAGTGGATTCGGAATAAGCAATAGGTTCTCGTTCTCTCTCGCTCCTGGCTCTTTCAATCTTTGCGAGGAGCTCGCCTTGAAGAATAGACACGAGAGGAGCGACGGTACAACGCGATACGAGCGATTTGATAGATCTGATAACGCACGTCCCATTTTTTTTTTATGGTTCCAACGTTTAACGACTGAAGTTAGCCGATTGTGGCGCTTTAACCGAGTACATTTTAATTGCTGGCCTTCCCATTGCAACGAACAATACCGATTAAGTTAGGTTAGGTTAGGTTAATGTTTCATTGTACGCACGAGGCGGAGACGACCCAAGTGGATCTCTCAACGGTGGGGTCAGCCGAGAGAGCCGTAGGTTAGGTTAGGTTATTGTTTTATTGTATGCACGAGGCGAAGACGACCCACGTGGGTCTCTCAACGGTGCAGTAGGCCAAGAAAGCCTTAGGTTAGGTTAAGTTAATTGTAACGCTTTTCGACAACCGTCCTCGCGATTGTATTAAGAGGAAAATGCACAGGGAGAGAAAGATGGAAGGGAGGGTCCTTTAAATTGCTTCGAGTGGAGACGAGAAAGGAAACGGTATGCAATAATTGGTCGTAAACTTGGTTTCCACCGGTTCCTTCGGCTCATGAATTTCTCGAGGTGGAAAGTAATACTTGCAAACATTATACATACACCCGCCCCCCGCCCGCTATTCATTCAACTTCCGCGTCGAGAATTCAGTTTACGAGGAATTATTATTATTAATCCGCGATCTTCGCGAAACTTCTTCCCGTTACTTCAAGGACCCGAACAATAGGAATAAATAGGCACGATATCAAAGCAGTAGATCGCCGGTAAATGCAGCAATAATTCGACTAATTATCAAGGGACGCGTTAGCGGCCCGAAGACCCCGTCAGGTGGCAAGATGGCCGTCGGACATCACCTCAAAATTCGACATTTTGAAATTCTTTCGTGAATATTAATTGTTTCCTTTGTACTTTCTTCATGTTTTAAGGTCTTTAATACAGTTTCATAGACTACTTCACAATGTGGAACAAGTCTTATTTAACCCTTTCAGTACGGAGACGCTGGCAGCGGGTATACATTCGTGGGCTGGGGAGGTTTTCCGCGAGAGTGGTTGCACTGGACGACAGCGTAAGCCGCAAAAACGTGATTTGTGGCATTTATAGAAATTTCGAACGTGATTGACACTAAATTTTTCATTTGCGCCAAAGACCCAAACGTAGGACCCAGAGAATGTTTAGTGAATGTCGCCAATTGGCGGCGGTAGGACCCAGGGAATATTTAGTGGATGCCAATTGGCGGCGGTAGGACCCAGGGAATATTTAGTGGATGCCAATTGGCAGCAGTAATACCGAAAAGGTTAAAAAGATGTTCTTAATGCAGAGATATTTCTGGAAAATTACTAAAATAATGTTCGTCTCCCTAGTTTTGTTTTTACCATGAAGTTAGCTGAATGATAATTATAGACTACGAGTTTAATGGAAATCCAGATAGACAGTCTCTCGGGTTGGTGTAATTCCAACTTACATCAGACCTCTCTTTATACGAATTTCTCAAAAGAGAGAGAGAGAGAGAGAGAGAAATGGTTGGTATAATCAAACAGTTGGTGTAATAGGAGCGCTGTTATTCATTGCTTATGGTTCATTCAATAGGAGTTCGCGTTCATACAAATGGGTTTCATCGGAGATCGGATATAATCGGACAGTGGTTGAAATTTCATTCGTACGGTACGAGTGGATCTCGTTTGGGAAAATGCGAAGTTCCAACTGCGTTTTTAGACGCGCGATGCGAAAACCGTATCGTCTGTAATAAGCGGGAGCTGGGGCGAATTTTTTTATTTTCTTCGAACGGTATACTTTCAGCGCCATTGATAAAAATAAAAATACGGTAGAACGCGCTCGGTGAAAATAATAAAAAAAATGGGATATGCGGTGGGATATTCCGCGAGCCTCCGAGCGTTGAATACATTTTACATGTGCGACCGAATTCGCCGTTGTTTACGCGTTTCGCGGCTCTTTTCAATCAAAAATAATCGCGTCGACCTTCGCGTACCATCGGTGGGGGAACGTGATAAAAACGGAACAGAATTCCAGAGCCAGTCGGACGATGCGAAAATTGAAACTATTTCCAGATTCGTAAATAATAAGTTTTTTTGGATCGGTTTTTAATGCGGTACACGTGGAACACGGATTCGTTGGAAAAATATTACGCTGATGTATCGAAACTCGTAAAGAGAATAATATGAACATTGAAACACTGGATAGAGGAATGCAAAGAGACACGGTATGGCAAATTAAGAGGATTGCAATATTAGTGACATTTTTTTATGGAAGAAATAATGGCAATAAATTGATTAAGTATTGGCTATCCCAAAAGTTTATGCACCTTAGAAAAACGCATTACTATTTAATTAATTACAAAAAGAATCAGTCAAAAAAAAAATCATAACTAATTAAAAAAAAATCAGACGTCGTAGGAAAAATGGTTTTGGATGAAAACAGTTAACTTGTTTAAGTATATAATCTATACATACTTAAGAAAACCATGGCAGGTATTTTGAGTCGTTGCTTATTCTTAAGATCGTCTTAAGCAATTGCTATCCCTGTCCATCTCATGTTTCCAGTCCCTGACTTAAGGTCCCTGACCCATAAAAACTAAAATTCGATAACATGAACCCAAAGATAGGAAAAAGAGTAAGATATATGTGGATTTATTATGCGCAATTGTACAGACCAGGTTTGTACCAGCGAGCCAAAGTATATCAAATCTTATTATCATAGCTCGTTCTTGTTCACCCTTAAAATACTGGTTTTGCGTTCGAAGCTAGCATCGATTTTAGCTGAATGATGTGATATTTAAATACCTACACAACTGGCACAGATACTATTTTCAGACCCAGCCTCATCAGAAGAGGAATCACCTCATTTATTACCTATGCCTAAAATACTTCCTAAGTTCCTCATTGTCACAATTGTAAGAAATCTCTGAAAATAGATCTCGACTAATGCTAAGTCCGCACAGGAACAAAGAAGTGAGAAAAGCTGTCGCAAACGGACGTCGGAACGACCGTCCTTCAGGTCCTAAGGGAAGGACCTGGTTTACGACACCCTCACGTTTTCTGCACGTTGTCAGCTCGTCACCTTCTCAAATGCTTCCTCTTCTGAGTTCCCTTCGGTTTTCTTACCAAATTGCCGCCAGGATGATCGAATGGACTAACCGTGGACCTACGACTCACGCATGTACGTAACCTAACCTGACACGTCCTTCGGATATCCGTCCGCTTTGGAATTTTTGCAACAAGCAGACTTCTCTGGTTACAGAGAATCCTGCGGGTTTCCGGCTGGGTTCGTCCTGATTCGCGTCTTCGCGAACTCGTCGACGAACCGTGGTATCTTGTACCGCGAAGTCACGCCAACCGGAAGTGCATCAAAATCCGTGCGCACTTATCAGACCTTCGAACGGCACACGAACTTTAGAAAGCACGCCGCACAGTTTGCATTGATTTCAAGTTTCGCCGAGAGAGTAGAGAATAGGCGGAATTCCGAGGAAACTCGCTCGTCCGACGACGATACGAAATTTCAAATTTCTGCTTCCATCGTTACCGCGGCGCGATGTTAGAACGAGAGCAACAGAGTGAGAAAGAGAGACAGAGAGAGAGAGAGAGGAAGAGGAAAATTCGAAACGTGGATTTAAGGAGGTTCAGGGGTTTTATAAAAACGTAGAGATCAGCATGAAA